GAAAGAATTTGAAGGTTTTAAAATTAGAACTAAAGATTTTATTATGGTGCCATTACAATAAAGTAAAATTAACGTGTGTGAAATAATCTACGAGCCAGACAGCTATCAACGGATTGGAAGTTGATAATGACAGGGAGAGTGTTTTAGATGTTAAATTTTGAGCTGGGTGCAGTGTGACAGCGACGTGAGTGTTATACACCTGATGATGGCCGTCTGAGGCCGAAACATGTAGTGTGGGGAAGCAAGATCAAAGACACAAAATATATTGTTTGCACTTGAGACAGAGTTTATATCATTTATGTATTCCATGTTTGGAAGTATCTGCTTATGTGAAAGTTTTTTTGTCATGAAGTATATAAAACCTTGATGTCCACTAACATATGAATCTCTTTCCAACTTCAGTTTGATACTACCAGGAGAAACAGACATATTTGCTTTTGTAAAGGAGAATGTTTGTTTACAGTGCTCACATTGAAAATAGTTTAAAACAGGTATTTCCAAATTTTATTAGAAATATATTTATTGAATTCTAATTTTGTTATAGAATGTTACAGTATCTTACAAAATTGGGCCCAGTTCTTATTTGTGGGCTTATGTTTTATAGATTTGATGAATACAGGACATATTGTCTCTCAGTATTGGAAATTCCTGTTTTTTTATTTTGCATTTTATACACACCTACATAATGCAGCCCATGGGGCATTGCATCTCCTTGGTAATTCAAGGTTGGGCAGCCCTGATTAAGGACAATGTAAAATAACAACTTATGAGTACTTCAGCAGGTTAGAGATTCACTTGGGGAGGGGGGGTGGAGTCCAACTGGGTCCACTCAGCATGGTGGCCACTGGTTGGGCTATTGTAGCTTGCCCTGGGTGATTATGATGATGATGGAGAATTTGGTGGAATGAAGATTGGCAGGGGAAACCGAAGTACTCAGAAAACCTGCCCCAGTGCCACTTTGTCCACGACAAATCCCACTTGACTAGACCTGGAATCGAACCCGGGCCGCTGCGGTGGGAAGCCAACGATTAACCGCTTGAGCTATGGTGCTGCCTTCAGGAGTGGCTTTCCAATCTTGCCTTTTTAGTTGGTATAACTACTCATCTGAAGCACTGAATGTTAAATTATAATGCAGCAGCAAGTTATGTACCACCATAAGAAACAACATTTCATCTGTTAAAATGAAGTTATTACTTAACAGTGAATTTTATACTTTATTCCACTCATTTGGTATTGTTAAGGCTCAGATGAAATGCAAGAAATTATTACAGGACATATTAGAGGAAACAGGTAAAACAGAGGAGGAGGTAGTATTAAAATGGATCATACGTTAAATAGAATGTGGGGATGCGAATTGAAAACCAGCTCAGTACAGTGATGCTGAATGTTCCATTTTATTACAGGTGAGTTCATTATGTGGTTAGGATAAAATTATTACTTTGTGTTTTCACCTGCTCGAAGAATTAATAATGGAATGTGGGGAGGATTACATAATTTTGTACAGGGTGTTCAGTTGAGATTAAAAAGTGCTGCTCAGGACAGGACAGCACAGGATCAAAGTTGGGGTGTGATGTGCTGTAAGTGCGCAGCAGATTTTTTGTGCCAGAACTCCAGAATCAGAATGTTCTCAAAACTTGTCTATATGTTTCAAGTCATGCTTGTAGGTAGAAGGGGGTTAGTTCTAGCAGTTCTTATTAAATATAGTAAGCTTGTGTCACCTTTTTACAATAATCTATAGCGAAGTTCTGTTTATGTAGAGAGAGTCAGCACTTACTGCACTGGAATTTTCATGGTCATGTAGTAAACTAGTGCCATGCTGCTTGGAGCAGCATGCTCCCATCTCAGTTGAATGCACTGTAGTGTCTTGGCTGCAGTTTACTGAATCTGTGTTATCCTTGCTACTGTGCATTGAACTGTTTTTTTTTAATTAGAAAACGTGAAATAGTAATAGTTCTGTATATAAGCACAAGAGTAAATCATGTGAATGTACAACAACGTCATGGTGTTATGTTTTCAGTTTTATGTGATGTGGAGACTGGTTTTTGCAGAGCCAGGCTTAATCTGCAGCTTAGGTATTCTAGATTGTACATATATAAAAATGTTGCTGTGATTATGATATCAGTGGTTACCATGCATCATTTTCTTTAATAGCAAGCACCAGTATCAAAGCCAGAGGGCCGCACAAAGTGTACATTGATTCCTGGAGATGGTGTTGGACCTGAACTGGTGTATTCTGTTCAAGAAGTATTCAAGGCAAGTTAATGCATTCAGATAATTTAAATATTTTACTTGAGGTAGGTACACTACACAAATCTAGGAAGATTGGAAGCTAGAAATCAAGACATCAACTAGACATCTCTGGAAAACATGCAGCTGTCAGTTGTAAACATAGAAGTTGAACGAATATTGAATCCATTAACCAGCATTGACTTTAGTGTGTAGCATTTATGCCTCATAAAGTAAAAAGGAAAAGTAAAGCTATCCCTGTAACAGGTTGTGAAGGCCCATAGGGTTGTGAGACGTTGAGGGTCCCACATTATCTACACAATCGGCTCAAAGATGGCGGTAAGGTTGTCAGCCTTATGCGCTGGCTGCACTTTACTCCCCAGGAAAATTATTATTTAATTCCTGGTACTCATTTCTGTTAGAGGCTGAGTCGACCCCAGGGCCATAGCGCAGCCGGAAGGACCAGGTCAATTGAAAAAATCCAGTGACTTCATTGGGACTTGAACCCATAACTTTCTGGCTTACAGCATAGTGCCTCAACCAACTATGCTACGGCATGCCCTAGCATTTATGTCTTATATATTTCAAAATGTCGTTCTGTGCAGTAAATGAAGATTAAACATGCAAGCTTAATTTTTGGTTAAGGAGGAAGCACAGTTATCAAATTTTGATGAATATGAGAGTTGCAAGAAGTTGTCTTGAGATATGTTGTAGAATAGTTAATTTCATCTGCAATCTTTCATTATATGAATGTGTAATGTTGTTTTTATTTCAGGCTGCTGGTGTGCCAGTGGACTTTGAAACATTTTTCTTCTCAGAAGTCCATCACACAATGAGTGCTCCACTGGAAGATGTAGCTAAATCCATTGCTACCAATGGTATTTGTCTTAAGGTATAAAACGACAAGATTAGCATATTTCATAGATCAGAAATTGTCAGCCTTTTACAACTTGCATCCCACAAGTCACTTTTGTCAAGAACCACAGTCCCACCATAGAAGAGACTGGTGCAAAATCATTGCACATACTTTCTTGTATAGGGTGTCTGGATGAAAGGTATCCAAAATAAAATCATTATATCTCGGAAAGAAGGGGCACCTGGTAGCGTAGTTGGTTGAGGCACTATGCTACACGCTGGAAGGTCGCGGGTTCAAGTCCTGATGAGGTCATTGGATTTTTTCAGTTGACCTAATCCTTCCAGCCACACTCTGGCCCTGGGGTCCACTCAGCCTCTAACAAAAATGAGTACCAGAAATATTCTTGGAATGTTCTTGGGGGTAAAGGGCGGCCGGTGTGTAGTGCTGCCAGCCTTGCTGCCATCTATGGGGTGATTGTCTAGAAAATGTGGGAACCTCAACATCTCACAACCCTATGGGCCTCCACGGCCTGTTAACAGGGATACCTTTACTTTTTTTTATCTTAGAAAGAATTTATTATACACTTTAATGGGTTACACCATTACAAAAGGAAACTATCAAGTTTTTTCTGCGTATATAACTTTTTCAATAAATTTAAATGTGGGCTCCCTTTGTGGCATGACAAATATCCAGGCTTGAAGCATGTTTGGTGTTACTGTAGCCACAGCGTCCCTTATGCTGGCTTTCAGGTCATTGATCTTAACCTGGTAGACAATGTTCTTCACATAACCCCACAAAAAGAATCCACTGTGGTTAAATCTGGTGACCTAGGATGCCAAGCGATTGGTCCACCTCTGCCAGTTTGTATCCCAGCCATCTCTCTGTCTGGGTGATTCCTAACATGGTGGCAAAAGTGTGGCTGCATATGCACGTAAGCCTGGTATGAAAATAATTTTCAGAGTTTTCCTTTCTGATGACATAAACCTGATATGTGATGACAATTAGTTTCTGAGATATAAATTTTTTATTTTGAATACCTTTCATCCGGACACCCTATATATGACTAACCTGGGCTGCATTACCTTGGGAACAAAGTCATTTGTTGCTTAATAGACCATTTTTGATTACTGAATACAAATTGAAATGTATCTGACCAGTAAAGTAGGTTTCAACAAAATCGGCATTTCGCATTCTGGTTGGAGTGCGTGTACCATTACTTTTCTGATGTTACCATCTGTGCAGTTTTATTTGGGGAGATGGTCTCCATAAATAACCGAAATTTAGTCAAAATCATTATAGCTCTTTTTGATAAAATAGCCATTTTGTTTGTGTGGGTTCATCTGAAGAGCACCAGTTACAAGGTGTATTGGAAAGTTCCTGGACTGTTATTGTAAGTGCCTCAGTGAAAGAAGATGAGAGGTCAAGGTCACACTTCTGCAAACCTTCTGCCACATGACACTGCTCCTTGAACATGCATTGTTTTTAGATGAGTGCTTTTTTGACTTCATGTTTCGTTTTGTCTGCAATGGATGGAAAAATTGATCAATGTATCTGCATCAAGTTTTGCGTGAAGCTCGGTAAATCTGCTACTGAAACCCTTGAAATGCTTCATGAGGCTTTTGGAGAACATTCTTTAAGCCAGACAGTGGTTTTTGAATGACAAATTTCAAGGCTGGTCGAGTGTTAGTTGAGAATGATGAATGTTCAGGGCGACCATGCTCCAGGAAAATGACAGGAAATTTTGAAAAAATTTGAGAACTCATCCACGAAGACCGTCGCCGAACATGAGCTTGCAGATATCATTGGAATCAGTTATGAAGTTTGCCAGATCTTAACAGAAAATATGAACATGGACCACATTGCCGCCAAGTTTGTTCCCTGACTCTTGACAAATGATTAAAATCAGCAGCGCATAAACGTGTGTCCTGAGCTACGAGAGAAGGCTAACGAGGACCCAGCTTTTATCTGTAGGATTATAACAGGCGATGAAAGTTGGATTTACGGTTATGATCCAGAAACGAAGGAACAGTCGTCACATTGGAAGAGCCCACAATCACCAAGAGCAAAAAAGGCGTGGCAGGTCTGGAGTTTAACAAAGAGCATGCGCTTTGTTTTTTCAGTGTGAAGGGTATTGTTCAGTATGAATTTGTTCCTCCTAACACTACAGTCAACTCTGACTTTTACTGTGACGTTTTGAAACCCTTGAGAGAAAGTATGCGACAAAAAAGATTGGAATTTTGACGCAACCACAACTGGCTCCTTCATCACGACACCAGACACACCAACACTTCCCTGAAAACCACAGACTTTGTGACTAACAACAACATGTTTACCATTCCCCATCCTCCTTGCTCGCTGGAATTAGGCCCCCAGTGATTTTGCTTTGTTTCCCAAATTGAAAGTGAAACAGAAGGAGCAAAATTTTGAAAGTGTCTGACACCCAAAGGGAATCACAAATGGTACTTGACAGCATTAAAGAAAATGACTTCCATGCTACTTTTGAAGCATGGAAGAAACGATGAGCTCTCTGTACACATTCCTAAGGAGACTATTTTGAAGGAGATGGTAGCCACAATTGAATCAGTAAGCCAGCATTTCTCTTTTGACCCAGTCTGGGAACTTTCTTATAGCACATTTGTAATTTGAAAAATAAGTTTCCTACATAAAATATGGATAGATGTGTTATCTCTGATTTAACATCTTGTATTGTTGATGGCCATTACTTTCAGTGATATACCACACTGCACTTGGTTTATTATGTTTTAATACACTGTAATTTACTTGAATTCATTGGCAAGACACTACATTAATGTACTTAAATTGATACAGAGTGAAGATTTGATGTTACCAGACTTTATAAAGTCCCTAAAAGTGCTTGTTGTAATGCTGAAGTTCAGTCTGTATCTTTGCTGTTGCTCAGAAGAAAGCACAGACCTGTAAGAAAACAGCGTTGTTCACCAAGAACTTCAGAAGTTGTATTTTTTTTTTAATTTTAGTAGTTTTATGTTTCATTACTGAAGTCTGAAATGATTTCTATTTCATTGAAAACTATTTTTAAAGCATTGCAGCAAATCAAAATAACCACCCACCAATGATCCCAACATTTGACATTTTGGTCATAGGGTGAGGGCACACCAAGGAAACTGGTAACCACAATTTCCGAGAATTGTTACCAGACTGAGTTGAACACATATTACTGAATGGAGCAACGCAAATTGAAGAAACTGTGTTGCTCTTACCTCGATTTGCGCTGCTCCATAGAGTAACATGTGTTCAACTCAGGCTGCTAACAGTTCTTAGAAATTGTGGTTGTGTTGCAGTTGCCAGTTTCCTTGGTGTGCCCTCGTCCTTATAGTAGATTTATTTGCTTACAAGTTGCTAACTTGTTCTTGGTTTTTGTAGCATTTGGTAAATATGAATTTTGTTATTATGGAATGTTCTGTATATGGAGGAAAGAAGATTATAACAAATTAGGATCCACATTTTTGTGTTATAAAAGTTTTATTTATTATATGATGTAATTGCATTTATTACACATTAGAGTGTTATCACCTGAATGTTGGAATATACTGTGTTTATCAATTTTTGAGAAATTAAATTGGAAATAAGGGAATCAACTGCAATTTAAATGTGACAGAAAAAAACACATTCTGAAATCCTATACTTGAAGGTAAATTAAACCTGTGGAAGTATGTATGTAGCACAACATAGTATGGAGAATCAGGTAAGTGCATTATCTCATTTTCACTCAGAAGTGGAGATAGAACACTCAGCTACTCTGGCAGCAGTGAGTAATGAGCATTGTACAGTTGTTTCAACTTTGAATACCTTGTCTTTTATGTTTCTTAGGGTATCCTTGCCACTCCTGATTACAGTCATTCAGGAGAATTGGCATCACTGAACATGAAGCTGAGGCGTGCATTAGACCTTTATGCCAATGTAGTGCATGTGAAGAGTTTACCTGGTGTGAAATGTCGTCATCAGAATGTGGATGCTGTTATTATACGTGAGCAGACAGAAGGGGAGTATTCTGCTCTAGAACATGAATGTGTTAAGGTAAATAGGAATCACTGTATTGATTTCTTATTGGAAGATACTACTAAATAATTTACTGTTGTGTAATACGGTTTATGTTGTTTGATAAATAGATAAGTTTTAGATGTCAGCTTCCATATACATGGTGTGTCCAGGATCCATTAGTACTCATTTTTTTAAATTTTGTGACTTTAAGATTCTTGAAGTTTCAGCTGTGGCTGTCTATAATTTCAAAGCGCAAGCATTGCTGCACCGTGTGTTCTGACCTTGGATGTAACAGTACTGTTCTGACACTCGTGGAAAATGGCGGTTGAACAGAGAGCCAACATCAGATCTTGTTTGAAGCATATGGTAGTGATTGAGTTGCTCAAACATTTTTCGATGGTATGCTGTATTTCATGACGGCAAGGAGGACATTGAAGACACTCCATGTGCATCAAAGCTGAGAACAAGTCGCACTGAAGAAAATGTGGGAAAAGTGACCAAAATCCTTGCATCAGACAGATGTGTTTCTGCAAGATTCATCGAGGAGCTTTTGGGAATACCAAAAAGTACTGTGCATCAAATTTTGACTGAGGATTTGGGCAAATGGAAGGTCTGTGCGCGGTTTGTACCGCACGCGCCGTCAGGCGATGAAAAACATGCCAGAGTGGAACGCTTCAGAGACATGTTATGGTCGACCCAAAGTGATACAAAATTTAAAAAGTCGATTGTTACTGGTGACAAGACATGGTGTTTTCAATATGAGCCTCTCACAAAGCGGCAGAGTGCAGCGTGGTTGAGCCCAAAGTAGCCGAAACCAAAGAAAGTGCACATGCTAAAAGTTGAGTAAATACACTGCTAACTGTTTTCTTCGATTCCAATGTAGTCATTCACAAGAATTTTCTGCCAGAAGGTCAAACAGTGAATTCTGATTATTATCTTGGAGTCTTCAATCGTTTGTGGGCGAGAATTCTTCGAATTTGACCTGAATATTGAGAGCAAGGTTCCTGGTTACTACATGACAATTTTTTGGCCAGAAAATGGATCACAGTCCTTGGATCATCCTCCGTATTCACCAGATTTGGCTCCAGCAGATTTCTGGTTGTTCCCAAAAGTTAAGTTGGCAAGGAAAGGAGACCGTCACGACACCATCCAGGACATCCAAAGGGAATGTACCGCAGTTTTAAATGCGATTCCACAAAAGGAGTACAGTGACTGTTTTCGAAAACTTTTCAATCGATTCCAGCCATATATTGATACAGAAGGAGACTATCATATTAATACATACAAGTTCACTAATTTTACTGTATGTCCCATCATAAATGGTCTTTCTGATCATGATGCCCAGAACCTAATAATACACAATATATTTAAACAAAAACCTAAAGATAGCTACTACTATATACGGGAAATAAACGATGTTTCAATTACTAATTTTAATAACAAATTAAGTTATGAGTTATGGGAAGACGTAATTAATGAAAAAGATATAAATACTGCCTTTAACTTTTTCCTGAATGTATACTTAACAATATTTCACTCTAGTTTTCCCTTAAAAAAAGTTCATACCCGCCCTGCCAGTAAATCCTGGCTAACGCCTGGAATCAGGATTTCGTGTATAAACAAAAAAAGTTTTATTTAGCTCAAAGAAATAGTGATGATATATATTTAACTAAGTTTTATAAGAATTACTGTAAAATTTTAACTTCTGTTATCAAACTTGCAAAAAAAAACATAATAATAATATTATAACTCATTCAAATAATAAAATTGCAACTGTGTGGAATATTGTAAAGAGTACTTCGAAAATAAAACCTAATGTACCCAATATAAGTACTATAAGGGTAAACAGTAATTTATCCTCAGATTCTCAGATTATTGCTGAGGAATTCAATAAATATTTTGTATCAGTTGTTAAAAATAATCGCTCAGCTAATGACACTTCCAACCAAGAAAATCCTATATCTATATAGGGCACGTAATCAACCTTTCCCCCCTATTACATTAAATTGTGTATCGTCAAAGGAAATAGAAGATATTATAAAATCCTTGAAAACAAAAAATTCATATGGATATGATGGGATATCCACTAAAATTTTAAAAGTTAGCAGTCCCTATATTTCTTCTCCTCTAACTTATTTATGTAATAGAATGCTAACAACTGGCAATTTTCCACTAAGATTAAAGTTCTCTGAAATAAAGCCCATATATAAAAAAGGTGATAAAAATGACACATCGAACTACAGACCTATTTCACTGCTCACATCAATTTCTAAGATCTTTGAAAAGGTAATCTATAATAGAATGCAACAACATATCAAGAAAAATAATATTCTTGCTAATGAACAGTTTGGATTTAGACATGCACGATCAACAGATGATGCAGCTTACTATCTTATTAATAATATCTTAACTGCTTTAAATAACAAAGAAATTGT